ATGTAGGATCAGGGTCCGACATTATTTGAAAATAAAACAAAGAGCTTCACACAATCACTTAGTTTATTTCGATTAAATGAACTTACTTTCACATTAATTTTTAATTATAATAATTGAATAATTCAGCACTGATTATATAAAGGAAACACTCAAATAAAACCAACAATAAAATTACTCAGCGATTGCGTAACGTGTGAACTGGGCAACGATCGACGAACGACTGACTCGAGCTTGCGCTTGCGCTGCTTTATATATCACTCGGTGGTGGGGTTGAAGTGACGTCGGTCAGTTGTTTGTTCACTGCTCGCCCATTACATTCGCAGTTTACAAAATAATGACGGCGGCGCCGACACATTTTTATTACAAAAAACAACAACAATGTAAGTAACACTTAGCCACGTATATTTTCCGCGTAACGTTTCCATTAACCTTTTTGATGAGTAAAACAACAATAATAACTTCGTTACGAAGACAAATTATTGTTTTATTGGCAAGTGTTACTTCAGAGCCGTAACTTAAACTGTCAAACACCAAGCGGTCACCGGTGACCGCAACCTATTGTTCTATAATTGTGTCTACAAAGACGGTACTCGACGAGTTAAACACATACATTTGTATAAGTATAATGAATAACTGACTAATACCTACTTAGTGAAATAACTTTAACAACAAAATCTCTACAAGAATAATTGATTAAAAAGTTGTTAAAATAAATACCTCACAGTTACTGCTGTAGGTCCAAAGTGACCAAGTAAAAACTTTGCAGACACAAAATCTGATTATTCCATTTAAAATTACTATCTCTAGCATCCTTAGTATAATCAATAAAACGTAAGTGCAACATAGAAATTCAATGATTATTGTATGTATGTATAGTAAGCGGGCTAGACCAATATTACTCAATTCCCGTTCAAAGACCATTGAACTCCAACAATACGCCACTTAAATAGAATCGCTTACAACGTCTAATGGACAAAGATTTATTACAAACTCATTGGTCCCAATGCTTGCCATATTTAGACACAATAAACCATTTAGCCAACGGAAAGAATGGCCATTGTACATATAAGGAAATTTTATTGGTGCATGCGGGCAATCGCGCATTTCGGAACATGGGACTGTGCCAGATAAGTTCGCTGAGGCATTTAAATCGCAGATCTTTGCAATTGCAACAAAATAGCACTTGTAGCAAAGAATAAAAATGAAAGCGTTTAGTTGGGATTGCCAATTTTGATATAAGGTTTATTGAGCGACAATAAAACGACACAACAGACAATCAGTGTGCATTAAAAAAATAATGGCATTCATTTGTACAAACAACGCACCCAAATCCTATTTGCTTGGAGTTAACCTTGATAGCATTGCTAAGTATTGAACAAGCAAAAAAATATTGTGCGCCATCGCTCAATCGTTCTCGGGAATTGTTTAATTATGTCATTCATTTGTCTGCGATATTCTTTTATTTTTTAACTAATAATAGGTAGCACTATTTTGTTAATTTATAATCGACTATTAGCAACAAAGTGTGAAACGTTTTGTCAGTCCAACTTCGCATACTTATGTCTCTTGTTTTGTGCATAGTACATACATAGCTGGTGAAGATCAGTTCTATCTAATAAGAAAATGAGAATTATTATGTAGGTAATGACCAAAGATTGCCAATCTTGTACGAAATATCTAAGCAGTATTGCTTTCTATGTTTCCTTTTGATGTAATCTAGAATCATTACGCTGTGGTTTCCTCAATACACCTGATGCCGCGATGCATCGTTTTCGCAAACAATTATTACTTTTATGTACGTAAATACCGTTGTAATACTCCAGTTTATTAATAGAGTTCCTTTTATTATTGTTACAGAGCGAGTCGAGCTACACTTCATCAGAAGAGGGCTGCGGTGGAGGCGAGCGTCACGCCGTGCTCAGCTACGAGCAAGTGCGGCGGCTCAACGACGTGATGGATGAGGTGGTGGCCATCCACGGCCGCGGCAACTTCCCCACGCTGCATGTGCGCTTGCGCGAACTGGTGGCGGGCGTACGCGCGCGTCTCGAGGCACCGCAGACTGCGGGCGGCGCTGGCGTCAATGTGCGTGACGTACGCCTCAACGGCGGCGCAGCCAGCCACGTGCTGGCCGACCGGCCGCAGCCATACTCCGACATCGACCTCATCTTCACGGCCGAGCTGCCCACCGCACGTCACTGCGACCGCGTCAAGGCCGCCGTGCTTGGACACCTGTCCACCCTCATGCCACCTGCTACACCGCGTCGCCGCGCTTCGCCAGCTGGCCTCAAGGAGGCCTACGTCTCAAAGATGGTTCGCGTGAATTCGGACGGTGACCGCTGGTCCCTCATATCCCTCGGCAACTCACGCGGCCACAAATCTGTAGAGCTGAAGTTTGTCGACACAATGCGTCGCCAGTTTGAGTTCTCCGTCGACTCGTTCCAGATTGCTCTCGATTCGCTCCTCGCGTTCCACGAGTGCGCTCAACTGCCCATTGGCGAGAACTTCTACCCAACTGTCGTTGGCGAGTCCGTATATGGGGACTTCAATGAGGCTCTGAGCCACCTCGCTGAGAAGCTGATCGCGACGCGGCAGCCTGAAGAAATTCGTGGCGGCGGTCTTCTAAAATATTGCGCCCTACTTGCAAAGGGCTACCGGCCAGCACGGCCAGACAAAATTAAAACCCTTGAGCGCTACATGTGCTCAAGGTTCTTCATCGACTTCCCTGAGCTCGGGCAGCAGCGTGCTAAGCTCGAGGCCTACCTGAGGAACCACTTCGTTGGCAGAGAGGAGGAAGCTCTGAAGCATAGGTAAATAACATTTTGTAATCTTTGAAAGTTTATTGTACTATTCAGTTAACATTTTAGTTAGAGGCTATGCAAAAGTAAGTAAAATCTACTAGACCAGTTCTTTAACCCAAGCAGTACAAAGTAGACGTATCATATGGTAATAACTAATAATATTACTGGAATTTTAGAAAATTGTGAAACCCAATCAGACTGGCCGAAATATTGAACCCGAGATCCTTTCACCTTTCGGTGGCTGCATAAATAGACTTTACTGAAGAGTTTGTTTAACCTTTAATAACTATTGGCACAGGTACCTGACCCTACTGCACGGCGTGGTGCGCGAGTCCACGGTGTGCCTGATGGGGCACGAGCGGCGCCAGACGCTGGCGCTGATCGAGGCGCTGGCGTGCCGCGAGCTGTGCGCGCGCGCGCCCGTGCTGCTGGCGCCGCAGTACTACGTGTGCGTGTGCGCGTGCGCGGCGTGTGCGCAGTGCGCGCAGTGCGTGGCGTGTGCGCAGTGCGCGCCGCCCGCGCCCTACTGCGACTGCTGCCACGCCGCCTCGTGCCCGGCGTGACCGGAGATCCTGTACGACCGACGATGAATTTAGTGCCAAATGTATATAATACGGATAAATGTATGTACGCGTAGGAGCGGGCGGCGGCGCCCCGCCGCGTCAAGTTGCTCACTGTCCGCCGATCAATTCGCTCGTCAATTGTCCCGCGAGCTGGCTGTCGGGCCGGCCCGCGGCTCTCGGCCCGCCGCGACGTGAAGTAATTTCTAGTCGTACTCCTTTCGTGTTGATAACTTAATATGTTAGCAGTACGAAAATTATCGTTCACGTGGATTGTGACGGACGCGCCGCTAGATAGTGAGTCCGAGTCGATGGTCTGCCTATATAAAAAGACTAGTTAGTTATTTTTAAGCTTTTACGTATAGAAGTCTCCATAAAAGTAGTGGCATGTCTCTCGCCGTCGAAATATCACGGAGAAGCGGACGGTCGGATACGAGTTTTATTGCTAACTGTAAGTGAGAAAATTTATTGCGAGAAATGATAACCGGTTCACTTGCGCGACAGATACTAACGGAGGAGCGTGCGTGCTTTTTGTAGGAACAATTATTGTGAAGTAACAAGTCCGGCCTTGTCGACGGCCTTAAACGCGAGAAAATCCGTTGAGTAGTAGTAGATCACGAACGTAGCCAGCGCGGTCGCCTCCGCTCCTCACTCTCACACACGTAAACAACTATTTTACTATGTATTTATCAATCTGAAAGGATGTATGTATACACTTACACGTTTCGTGATCGCTCTAGTATTGTATACGGCTTGGCGTACGAGTAACAAATTAAGATACACATAGAAAAATATAAAATGATAAAAAAAACTTAAAAACCCAAAAAAAATATATTACTAAGGTGTGTACAATATTAAAGTTCACGCTTTTTTAAATAATATAAAAATACCATTAGAGAATATTTTAAGAACATTTACAAGTAGTGAAGTCACGTTTAGTAACAGAGTACTTATGAACATTTTTTTTACTATTAACGTCTCATCGATTGCAGTTTGTACAAAGCTGTACATGTATGGAAAATGTGATTTAATTGTTGTATTAATTAACCATGTTGTCGATGATTATATTATTATTATCTACTTACATAAAATTATGTAGATTAAATCCAATAGAGAGATATATTATTATTGTTGTATTTTAATGAGATATAGAATATATGAACGATGGTGTAAACAGTGTCCGGCCAATACGTGAATGTGTTAGATATTTTGCCAAATGCATATTCAGAGTAATTACTATATTTATACAGATTGCATGAACTTTGTAGGGCTTTTACTAAGCAGTTTGTTATGTAGTATATTTTGAGTAGCGGAAAATATATCCGAAGTAATCAAGTACAATCATCTAATAGAGTATTATCGTTAACTTCGGAACAATTTATCGAGTTTATGAACGAATTTTCCCGACTTGCTCACTGTCGAACCAAAATTTAAGATCTCATTTTTTTATCTCTTCAAAAATTCTTTTGGGATTGTAGTGTTGTAATGTATACACTTTTAACTGTTGTCATATGCTTGTTATCTTGGCTATATGTCATTTTGTGACTTGGAGGTGATAAGACATTTGATGCAAGTTAAATATTAATGTGCAGTGATCCGTTGCACTCGTGTGAAAGTCTAGTGCTCATATTTGTGGATAATGTATTTTGTGTAAACTGTATTGGAATGGATTGCAAGCACTAGAGTCGACATTTCGGAATTATATCGCGCGAGACGAAGCACGAGTACAACGGAGCATTGCTCTCGTCGAACAGTAGCCCTAAAATTAGAAATAGTACCCAGTCGTCTGTACTTAGAAATAAATGAAGTACATAAACATAGTTAACTGAATCTAAACTTTATTCCATTTATGTAATAAGAGTGAATGTAAGTTAATTATCACTAGTGTTACTTGCTATATCGAGACAGGCGTCTAAGTTGTGATTTGTAGTCTTTTCGACAGGTATTTTAAATGTCATTCTATATTGTCACTATATTTATTATAAATAACTGTGATTGTTATATCTGTATTGTAAATCAGCTATTGGCAAAATCCGTTAAGAACTACCTCCTCGCGCGAAATGTAATAAATATAAATCGATGGTATATTTTTGGGAATTTTCTTCTCTACAACTATTGACATAATTATGTAGTAAATTAAAATTAACCATAAGGGACTTGCCAGTTATTTACAAATCTCTGTGCAATTTCTTAAAGGTCTTGTTTTTTTCCAAAGTAGACATTTTAACATCGCTATTCCAATTCACATGCTATCTGCAGTGATTTGGCCGATCTACATAATTCTTTCTTTAGTTTGGGTCGAGTTCACTATTCGGAATTTCGTAAACAATCTACTCGTATATTATAAACGAGAATGAATATAATTCTAGAACAGTGAATGCCCCAAGAGATACTGAAACTGGTTAGTTGATAAAGCTCTTCCACAAACCACGACGAGTGGCTAAACGCTTCTAAAACGGTCTAAATATTTTGAAAAATTTTATTTTGCAAAGAGAGACATTGCAATATAGTTTAGGAATTTTTATTTTTTTTTCTAAAGTTACCATCAGTTTTCAGCTAGCCTTATTTTATAATTAATTTTTAATTCTAATGAGCACTGGTCAAATGGCGTTCTCGTGCAATTGATGGTTGTTTGTTAATATATGTATATATTGTTGGATTATGGTTTTTGTGAATTTGATATATTTTACAGAGATATATACTAGTCTCCTTATATTATGTAATGTACTTAAAACAATGTTTCTTAAACTACCACGAAGGTTTTAGGTCAAACTCGTTTTCGAATTCTCAAATGCATCTCAGAGGCCTTAGTACGAGTTTCATTTACGTTTAAAGTATTCGAAACGGGGACGCGTTCGGCAATCTGATTGGCCGGCGCCAATGAACCAACCAATCAGAGCGCTGAACGCGTACTCGTTACGATTACTTTAAACGTAAACCAAACTCGTACTAAGGCCTCAGTTTTATATTATCTCATGTTCTCCTTGTGGTGAAATGTTGTTAAAAGCCCTATAAGTATTGTATCGTACTCGTGAAATTTATGAGATTGAATCTAGGTTTTGTTTCGTATTTTCAATGTACTAATTTTTCTAATAAATATTGTAACTTCGTCATTTAACTTGGTTGAAGATTGAAAAGTAATTGCAGTCTGTACGTTTCTGTAAGTATTTTGGCATCTATGACGTAATCAGCAAAGACGACATTAACATCTACAGCATTGTTTAAAAGAAAGTTCTGGAACAGTTGGGTATTCAAAACTTGTCAAAAGAATATATTGATCAGGTACATAAACATATTAACTGATGAACATTAATTATATTCAAACAAATATCAGACATTGCTTATATAGATGATAATGTCGCTGCTATCAAACAAATGGCATTTGAGAAAACAAAAGTACGTGAATTATGCAAAAAAGTTGTAATGCAATCTAAACTAGAAGCATTTACTTATCTATTTATAAAATGTTGGTACTGGAACCGAGTTTTTTGTTCAACGAAAAAGCTACGAAAATAGTTTTCATCAATTAACAATAAAGTACATGATTTTTTTCCGTTCTTATTTCGTTGAAGAAGCGACTGGGTTTTGGGTTTGTGTTAGATTTATTTTGGAAGTAAGAGCACGTGAACGCCGTAGTAAGAAGCGAAGCTTCGCGGTACTAGAGGTGTCGACAATTAGCAGCGGTGCGGTATTAGTCTACTGTCCTATAAAACCAGTACAAATGTCAGAACTATCATTATTCCGTGGGTGTGGCACTATTCGGTAGTTGGTATAATAGAGCTTAATGCATTTTTAAATGGACAATTTGCATTCAATAGCCTTGAACGTGCATAATATGCCAATATCGTAGATAAAGGTATCTTATCATGTTATTCTGGAATATTACGCGATTAAAAGCATTGATTGTTTAAAGTAAATAAAATATATGGGAGCTTGATTTTCAAATGTTTGTCCTTTTTAGTCATCTCTTGTCACAAATGCCCCGCGTCCACAGAGTGAATAGATTACATAGTTGTGACGCCACACACCATCCCCTGCACCACTGCTACCTGTCTGCCTTCTGCGTCCCCGAACTCGCCGTGTCGAAACTGTCGCTCATATGTTAAAAGCGAATGTTCGACACACCGACTCTCTAGTTTAGGGGTTTCTAGGCCTTACGTTATATAAGCTTATATTAGGTTATATCAAGTATATTTACATTATAGTTATTATTTTTTCTTTCTCTTCCAAGTTGCCTGTTTCGTGTTACACGAACCGCGACGATGTGTTGTTACGATACATAATTACTATTATATTTGTGAGGAGTTTTAAGCTATTGTAAATTTTACAGAAATAAAAATGTTGTGAAAATAAATTATAAAAAAGTGATATAAACAGTGAATTTGTGTCTTTTATTTTTACCCACGATGGAACAGGAGACGAGTAGTAAAGAGTTATGCTTAAAGTTGTTTCTACTGTCACTGAGGCAAATAAATAATGTTCTCAATTAATAGATAATAAAATAAAGACTGCCTCGTTGGCCGAATGGTCACGGTGCGACTGCCGGGCAAAGGGTCTCGGGTTGGATTTCCGGGTCGAGCAAAATATAACTTTGGTTTTTCATAAAAAATCTCAGTTGTAGCACGGAGTCTGGAATTGTGTCCAGTATATGGCTATAAGTTCACCCCTTATTACATGGGCCTCATAACATAAATAGCGAAAAGTAGGTGTAACATTGCATAGTGGCATTAAGTGCCGTAATGTACACCTCTGCTTATCCCTTCGGGGATAAAAGGCGTGATGATATGTTGTTGTGGTCTCTATTAATATGTCAATTTTATAATACTTAAAAATGTAACAATAATAAAAAGTAATACCAACGTCATCGTGGTGGTACGAGAACACATACGAGATAACCTGAGGAAATGCTAGGCTGAAATCCTAAGTCAAGAAGTAAAAGACTAGAAAACTGTCTATCATAATAATCAATTTACCGCTATAAGAACCCAGTAGAACCAACAATAGATGAAAATGACCTGATATTGAATGGGGGTTTCCCAAAACAAATCGACTCAAACCTACAAGCTTCAATGGTATTTCCCCCTAAAACAGTAGCAAAGTACCTACGTATGAAAATAGGTACAATTTGTATGATTAATAGATACCTTTAGTAGATAAATATTCATAACATAATAATATATAACAGATTATTTATGAATAATTTTTATTAAAAATGGATTTTTCCCAATATTATCTGCTAAAAATAAAAACAAAATATTAAGTTGGTGACGACACTAATTACTTACCAATTTAGGTTGTATACCTATCGATATTTTGCACGGAAATAATACGGTCTACTTATAAAAAGACCACGGTCTACTGTGAATAAAAGACCAAGTAATAAGTAGACCAATGAATACCTAAAACTGCGCAAAACTTAGCTCATAAAACAAAAGGTTAATTATGATAAATAAATGACAACGACATAATTACAAA